TATATATTATTGAAAATACAGACTTCTTTTTATATGTTTAGAAAGTTAATATTTTTGCTTAAAAAAAAAATTGAACACTTGTTCCAGTGACATTATAAAAATAAGAAGATTAATTAGCTCTATTAGGCCTACAACCGCGGCCTTAAAGCCCATAAAAATGGCATAATTAAAAAAAAAAAGGTTAAGAAGACAGCTATAAAATATTTTAAAGCACAAGACACAGAATGGAGAGTAAAATTGCAAGCCAAAACGTTGACAAGGAAACAACTCAGAGCATAAAAAATAGAGTAAATTAGAGGAAAGAGCAGCCAATTGTACAAGCCAATCATAAAAAATACCCTCGATTCCCTCTATTGTTTATCCTTTGTGTTGATGGAGATAGAGTATGAGGAGAGATTGATAGAGAGCAGAGGAGGAGGTGGTATCTGTGAAGAGTGGGTAGGTACCTCTAGGCACCGAGCGTAAGAGGAGTTAGGGCTTCACGCCCGAGTGAAGAAAGGAGTCTCGGATGATCCAAAAGTGGAGGTGGCTTATGGCTTAAGAGGAAGGAGGGAGATTTTAGCTGAGCAAGGGCTTCGGGCCGAGAAGCTTGGGGAGCTGAGAGCTTACCAGAATAGGGAACCCGAAGGTGAGGCAACACACAATCGCGTGAGGTGAAGCGAGGGAAGCCTTCGGGTGCAGAAGAAGGAGGTCATTTTCGGGTAGTGGGAGTGGAAGATTGCCTCAATATGCCGTGAAGGAGAAGGGAGGATGATGAGCGAAGGTTTCGAACCGAAGAGGGCTTTGATGAGGGAGGAACACCGTGAGTTTATTTTTATTAAGGCCTTTTTATTTTTTTATTTTTTTATTATTATTACCTTTTCTTTATATTGTTTATTATTTAAAAGCATCGATATGCGTATTGTTTACCTGTGCATGAAACTATAGCCATATGGATGCCCTCCATGTGTAAAATCGATGTTTCAAACACACTCGCACGGTTCATTTCGTCTTCTGGGGTCGTTTGGACAATTTCGTTGACGATCAGGTTAATTTAAGTCCAATTAGTGCATGACGCGACAAATGATATTTGTGGATCTAATCGGAGTCGTCCGATAAGCAAAATGGAGATCGACCTTCGTTTAGGCGAAAACTGAAGTCTGGAAGGAAGACCCCGACACGCCCCTCAACGCTCACCAACGGGTCTCAAATTCGTGTCACGCGGGCTTTCACATTATTTTAAATTTGACTTTGATTTTGATTAATGAATCGTATGTGAATCGTGGTGTTTTATGTATTGCATATGTGGATGTGAATCGACTCCTCTTAGGTTTGACGACTCCTTTCAACAGTGAGCCCAATCTTAATTTTCTAGGGCACATATATTTGATTTATGTGTTTTAGTTATTTAGTTTTTGTTGTGTTTTTTTACGGGATAATCATCGACGCCTTCAGGTTTTTCCTTCTAGGGCTGTATTCAAGGGTGAGTGGTGCTCTGATTGTATCTCGTTCCGGGGGTATTATTTTAACTTTTTTGTCCTCCGCAATACTCCCTCTACTGCTGTCACTTCTTCTCTTCGCTGCAGGTATTCCCGGACAACCCCCCTTGCTGTCCCCTGCAACTGTACCCCTTCCATCCTTGCCGCAGTGCACTTTTGTGCCCACTGCTTTTCTCCCTCTTCACCAATCACCCCTACTTGAACCGTCCTTTCCCCTACAGCACTGTTGACTGCCCTCCCCTTTCTTCTCTTCTGTAACCCAGCCGTGAATCTTCCTACCTTCCCCCTACAATCCGACTTACCAACCACCAACTGACTGGCCTTCGACTGTCCAACTCACCATACCCCTTACTCCTCTTTTAGACCGCTGCACCACCCTCGATCTAAGCCTTAGTTTGAGTGTGTTGTCTCCTTTTGTTATTTCCTATTTCCAAGTGTGTTGGTTGTAATCTCTAATTGACTTCAGTAACAGCATTTGCAATTCCCGTTGATGTTTGGTTAACTCTGGCATCAGAGGGGAAGCTTCAATTAGATGCCATTCTAGGCATATTCATTGTCTTTGTTGAGACCAGGGAAGAAGCTAGAGACTAATGATAGGAGGAAGGTTAGATCTGGTGTCTCTGTTATTAGATTAAAAAATAAAATAGAAAGTCATGTGGGAGCATCATAGAGGAGAAAGGCTATCCTTTTCTTATTCAAATGAAAAAACTTGCGGGCTTACATCAGGAAATGGCAGTGAGGAAAGAACTTGAAAATACCCACTGCTACACTTAGCCTTTTAAAGGAAAAAACTAATAAGCAAAATAGTGGAGCATTTAATAGTCAACAGGAAAAGGGTGGGTAGTGATTGTAGTTCCAAAACACAGCTTACATCAGGAATTGCTTCCATATGGTGATGGGTTGGATTGCTGTTTAAGTAAATTTCCTAAACCAGTTTCTGAATTTTTGCCTGCCATTTCCTTGGATTCCAATTAGATTTTTTGAAAATTAACAGCTGTAATTGCTTCTGTAATTGTGTTTGATAGTTGCCCACAATCATCCATGGATGCATAATTTTCACACTATTTGCCATCCATGGATCACATTTTCAGATTGGTTAATGTTCTTAGCCTTAATGTTGCAAAACTTGATGACTCATTCCCTTTTATAAATATTAGGGGCATTTACATACATTGCACACTATTCTTATGTATTTACATATCTCACACCTAAACTTTCATATTTACACGCACAACACTCAAATTTTTAATATCACATAAAAAAAGCACTATTATCACTTTTTTATAATGAAATACACCTTTTCATGCATAGGTTTAAAACACAACATGCTATCTATGTAAATATGAAAGCTTTGATGTGATATATGTAAATTCATAAGAATTGATTGCTACGTATGTAAATTTCCCTAAATTTTATTGGTAAATTATGTTGGTTATTTCACTATGTCTTTCGAGTTGTTTGGTGAAGTTAATCAGGCAGTATTCTCTTCTCATGGGACTTTGCCCTCATACTGTTGAAGAATCAATATCAATCATTAAATAATGATTTTTCGCATGAGGCATCATTCATATTCTGCTTGTGATACTTAAAATGTTTTCTACGTCTATCTTTTGTAATCTTGTGTGGCAGATGTTTCTGAGCACAATTATAGATGTTGCTGGCCATGCTCAAAATATAGATGCTGCATTTGCCATTCTAAAAGATGCCAAGAACAGAGGAATACTTGTTGGAAGCATGACGTACAGCTCACTTATGGGGGCTTGTTGCAATGTAAGTTTCACGTCACTAGAAGTTGATTTATCAATGTCCTGAATATATTTGAATGTCTTAAAATCTGGATTTTTAAGGCAGAGTTTGTTTTTTATGTCATTTTGCTTCTGAATTTTGGTTCAAACCAAGAAATGATATTCGTTTCCATGGTTTAGTATTTGCATGGCGGCTATCAATTTTTTCTTAATTATTAGTTGCTTTTAGTTAGATAAAGTGCTTTCCAAAGATACCTATAAAGTTTCATGTTTTTTTAGGCAAAAAACTGGAAGAAAGCTCTGGAGTTGTATGAGGATATTAAAGCTATCAAGTTGCTTCCGACAGTTTCAACACTAAATGCTTTGGTCACCGCTTTATGTATGCCTTTTCCTACAGAAAATGCTAATTGGCTAGTTTATTCAGCTTACTGGATTACTTGCTTATTTTACACGGCTTTGCTGTGTTTACCTACCTTTTAAGTAAACGTGTATGGAACTACTGCTACTCTTGATCTCATCCAATATAAAATAACCTCTGAACTATCATCAATTTGCAATATGGTTGGGTTGCTATTCATACAAGCTTGAAAGTTACTCTTATTTATTGTCCCATCATAAACAATAGCTTCCACATTTTGAACAGATTGCACTTGATTGCCTTCTATTTATGCATGACTAATTCCATTAGGTCTTTTACGTCAGAATTTTTTCTCTTGAAGAATTCATTTATGATATGTAACGTAAGGATGATTGTTTCATATTTTTAATGCTTGTCTAGTATTTGCATGCTGATATCATGTAATTCTTCATCAGTGCTTTTGCTCCCCAGTGCTGAAACCTCTCTTTAGAGGCAAATCAATTGGTTTAATACATAAATTTGTATGTGCATATATTTCATTAAGGTTTTCGTTGCTTAATGACTTGGTGGCATCAGCACTTCTTTAATTGATGTACTTGTACATCACACTTATCATAATATTTTATTAGAAACAAATATTTTGTTTGCTAGCATTTATAATAGGGGCATTTACATGCATACCAACGAATTCATGTGTATTTACACATCTCACACCTGAACTTTAATTTTTTTACTTTTATAATACTCAAGTCTTTTATATCACATAAAAACACCACCATTTTAACTTTTAAAAGTTAAATAGATCTTCTCATGCATGCATGGCTAAGATGGCATATATAGAAAAATTGAAGTTTAGGTGTTAGATATGTAAAATCCTAGGAATTGAGTGTTGTGTATGTAATTCTTCTTTATAATTAAACTTTGTTGCTTTGAAATATATTTTGTATTTTGAGCAATATGATTATTGGCATTTAGTGCACTTAGACGTGCTGTCCTCCACTGACATTTATGAACTGTCGTAGTGTAGCCTGAGCTTGAGCTTTAGCTTTGCTCAACATTGCTAGGTTTACTACTTACCCCTATTAATTGAGACATTTTTAACAAAGAGAGCAATTTTGTATTTGTTTTATTCTGCAGGTTATGTTTCTTCCATGCTTCACATTGTATCAGTTTCATGGTTTAAAATATTACCTGTATCAGATAAATCTGATCAGATGATATTGCAGGTGATGGTGACCAGTTGACAAAATCTGTTGAAGTTCTTAATGAAATGAAGGAAGTAGGAGTACTGCCTAATGTCGTCACATATTCCATTCTCACTGTGGCATGTGAAAAGTAATAGTTTAAGGCTCTGTTTGATCTGATTTTTTTGTTCTGGTTTCTAATCTTTTGAAATTAAAGGAAGGATGAAGCTGAACTTGGATTTGCAATTCTCTCAAAAGCAAAAACAGATGGAATTCTACCAAATCTCATTATGTGTCGGTGTCTTACTGGTAAACTCAGCGTGCGTTCGTGGAAATAATTTGACAACTTGAAACTCTTCTTGCTTAGTTCAGTTGTAAATTTACTGAACAATTTATCCTTTCTCAACTTATTGCATTTCTTTTTCATTGTTGATGTTAGAGCGACCATTGAAGGAAATCTCATTCGTTGTATTCATTGTTTATGTTTTGTACATTGTCTTACCCTCGATGTTGAAAATTGATGGTCTGAATTTTCTAGGTATGTGCCTGCAAAGTTATGAAAAGGATTGCTCTCGTGATGAACCTATTATTTCTTTTAACTCTGGAAAGCCACAAATTGATAGTATATGGTAAGTAATCACCGCCTATGCTTTGACTGATGTTGGTAGTCTATATTTTTTGAAAGACACATCCTAATTTGAAATTTGCTTCCTTTCAAATTATTTGGGAACAAAATGAGGAATCTCGATGGGCCGAGTTTGCGCTCTCTTCCTACCAGGAAAAAAAAATGAACTTTGTGATTAATGTTTTGGTTGGCAAGTGGTGTTTTATTTTATGTTGTAATGTTTTGTCCTTTTGTTGTTGAGTAAACAATATGACTATTTGGTAAAGGTGCTATTAAACGTTGTGTTTAACCCGTTGTAAGAGTGTTAGTTTTTTGCTTAAAATAGTAACAAGTGTCCAATTTAGTCTCAGAGTTTAAGAATACTCTAATTGAGTCCTAGACTATTAAAAGTTGGTCCAAATTGGTGTTAAATCATATTTTGCTTTAAATTTAGTAGTGGACTACATGAACTGAAGGGTATTTTGTCTTTTATGTAATTATTTATAAATATATCCATCATAAAAATTTGTTTATGCTATTTGGCTGGATTTAGGTTAAATCATGTTTAAAACCTAATTAAGTACAGCTCAAATACGATTAAAAACAATCATCACAAATTCTGAAATCCCATTTCTCCACCATTTTATACTTTCAAATCCGATTAAATAATTTATTTTGCCACATATAATACATTTTCTTTTTCGACGAATTACTCCTCTCCTCAAACTTGCAGTGTCGTATTTACCTGCTGGAGTCGCAACATCTTCAGGTCGAACCGACGCAGGTTGAAGTCGCCTTTGTTTGCAATGAACGATGGTCAAGGGGGATAAACAAGCACTTGGATGGAGACAAAGCCTTGTCGTCAACGCAAGCACCGCAGATGGAGATGGAGATGGAGATAGAGACTACTTAGTTGAGTGGAGAAGTAACGAATGAGTATTCGCCTTGAGTTGCTTGCTCCGTAGATGGTGAAACAGAAGGGGAGAAGCCGCACTTGGATGGAGACAAAAGTCTCGTTGTCGACGCAAGCAACTTGGATGGAGACGGGGATTGGTTTGTCTAGTGGAGAATCAACAAATGAGTACACGCCTTGAGTTGCTTGTTCATCGATGGTGGATTAGCAGCACGAGTGGAGTAGCAAAGATTTAGATTTGATTGTTTTACGTATGAATCCTCCAGAGAGAACTTGCGAGCCTTTCGTGTGTTTAATTCATTAATTATGTAAATAGATGGAATTGTCCTTCAAAATATGAAAGTAGTTTTTTAAATTAAATGAAAAATTTTATTTAGGACCAATTCAGATCAATTTTCAATAGTCAAGGACTAAATTAGAACATTTTAAAACTTAGGGACTAAATTAAATTTTATTTAGACTTTTTCTCTTGAATAAAATAAGTGAACATTATTTTAAATTTGTATAAAAATAATTTAACATTTTAACCATCAATTAATACATGATTAATTATACTAATTTTTTTTACTATTTAGAATAATTTTAGAAGAACAATTTATTAGCATAACTAATTTGACTAAGTAAATCACCTTAAATATTTTGGAATACCTAAGATTTAATCTCACCTTAAAACTTGCTTTTCTAGAGAAAACTTTTATTCTAAACCCTAAATCCTCCACCAACTTGATCCATTTTTTTCGAGCAACATATTTACCAGTTTCATAAAGCTGGAGCTAAGTTCTCTATTCCATATTCACCCTTTTTCTTTTTAATGTTTTGATATTAGTGCAGTTGTTGTTTAGGGCGGGCCATCGTCATCATCATCATCATCATCATCATCATCATCATCATCATCATCATATTCTTATCCCATGACATTTAGTCATATTGTTAAGGGTGGGCGACTGTTTTGAAACAATAATTATGAGACCCTATTGCCTACATATCCCCAAATCAGTTCACAACTATAGAACTCTATTATGTAAAAATTTATATTTAATAAATTTGATGAAATTTTAATCATGGTTTATTTACTTTGTTGCCATTGCAGGACATCACGAGCAATAATGGTGTATCGTGAAACAATTTCATCTGGCGAGATACCGACAATTGAAGTGTTTTCTCAAGTTTTGGGATGCCTGCAGTTTCCTCTCAACCCTTTATTAAGAAATAGCTTTATTGAGAACATGGGAATAAGCTTTGATACATCAGGATGCTCAAATATTTCTTCTTATTTGCATGGGTTTGGAGAATATGACACGAGGTCGTTTTCTGTGCTTGAGGTATCAAGCCTTTAGTTTTGTTTCTTAATCCTTTTTATGGCGCTTTAAATGGTTGGGAGGTAATGGATAAGAGAAGGATTCTTGTCATGGAGCTAACGTTTATCACCAAAATGATTTTACTCTGCAGGAAGCTGCATCATTACGAGTTGTACCAAGGGTTTCCTATAAAGAAAGTCCAATTGTTTTAGATGCAAGGAAGCTACTACTACATACAGTTGAGGTGAACCACGTTGTCACTTGAATAAACTTTTCTTAGTTTAGAAGATTTTTGGGGCATTTACATACATACCACACAATTCTTATGTATTTACATACCTAACTCCCAAACTTTAATATTTACATGCATAGCACTTGAATCTTTAACATCAAATAAAATACATCGCTATCATCTGCTTTTTAAAAGTTAAATACACATTCGTGCATCGATTTATCGCACCAAGGTGTTATAAATGTAAACTCCAGGTGCTGGATGTGTAAATATAAAGAATTCTGGTATGTATGTAAATTTCTCAAGTTTTTTTACAGGGCACCACTATGACACTTCTATACTGGAGTATCCCGTGGTAATCATTCGATATTTGTCTCGTAATCTATGGAAGTTAGCAAGCACTACTAGATCAGTAATTACGATATCTTTGAGCAGTGGCTGATATTTCATTCAAGTAAAGAAGGTTTTGTCTAGAAATCATGAGGACAGTGGATCACTTTTAACTTCTTACCCTTGATTTCTCTCCCAACTTATTGGTGGTGCCATCTTGATGAGAAACGTGGTCTTTTAGACTCTTTATCTTTTGGGGAATTTACATACACAACACCCAATTCTTATGATTTTTTCTGTATCAAACCCAAACTCTCATTTTTTAAAAGCCAAACACCCAACGCATTGATGAAAGTGTTGTTTGAGCGATTCGATTACGATCTAAGCATTTTGAACCATGTTTATCGTTTGGATTTTTTTTGGTGTTTCGGATCCATCATGATGGTAAACTTGGCAAAATTGAGGGTGCAACAAGGTTTCTAGCACATAGTATGCCAAATGTGTCCTTAGAGTATTGTTTAATTGTGATGCATAAAGTGGAGAAATAGGTTTTTTAAAAAAAAAATGATGTACATATTCTTTGAAAGAGATTTTTTTAAAAATATGTATATATATGTACATATGCGTGCTTGTTTGCATATATAATTTTATATATACATTTATACCTATCTATATAACTTATTATTATTATTATTTATAAAATTGTGATTCGTTCGTGCAAACTCCCCCACAAAGTTCTCTCAATCTTTTTCTCGTACTACAACTTTGATGCGATTGGGTGGGTTGGGGTATCCTATTGGACCTTTTTGTGTTCCAAACACATCATAATGGTCTATTTGGCCAAGTGAGCGATGATTGAGGGTGGCCGGAGTTGATTTCTTATGAAATTCCTTTTGTCTTCCTTCATTGTCACCCCATTCAGTATAGTATGCTTATAATCACATATGGTGATCAACATAGACTAATCATGGTGGATGCTAATTATTTTGATGAGGAATCAGGGATAGCTTAAGCTAAGCTCTATGAACAAGCGTTTATCATGTTGCCTTCCTTATTGGAAGCCCTCCAAGTTTTGTATAATTTCACATAGAAATCCTTTTTTTTCATTTATGGAAAGCACTCAAATTTATCACTTCGAAAAGGAATAAGAATAGCTAAATTTTAGTCATTCAAAAGATGTAATCATACAATATATAAAAGGTTTTATATATAGTAGTGACAATGGAATCCTGAGTCATGGATGAGGTGGCCCACCATTCATGAGAAAATTGAGAGAAATGAAGGCTTGTGGAGTTTAAACATTTGTGGGGCTCTAATGATTTATGGTGCTTTCATGATTAAATGCTTAATGGATGGGAGAATTCAAGTAGTTTGACGGAGGTAAAGAGATTGGAGAGAGGGGAAGGTCTTGGTAAGTGCCAATTCACATGTTTGATTAGAAAGAAATTTATTTCCTTAGAATATATTTCACTAATTGTGTTTCCTTTTATTAGATATTTCTTTTTTTTTGTATTTGGCGCGTTTCCTTTTTTGTTTCCTTTCATTATTATATATATATATATGTAGTATGGTGTAATGCATTGTGGAGATTGAAATAAAATTCATTCACAAAATTTTGCATGCCAATAGAGCCGACAGTTTAATTTGCTTGCACAAGAGGTCTCAATTGTCTTCTTCTCTATTTTTCGTAACATCAATTTTCGTTCAAGCCGCTCCATTTCTCTCATACTCACGAATAATAACCATCATTCAAACAACTGTTGTGTCTTACTCGTACGCACAAGCAACAACCCTCAATCGTCTTTTCTATTTGACCAGATCATGAAAGACATATCACAAGATTGCTCGTCTTTTTGGTTCGACTAGATCATGGAAGACAAATTGTAGACTGCAGGATCACTCGTCTCTTTGGTTCGACCAACTCCTTTTCAAATAGATTGCATATCATAGGACTGCTCTTCCTCTTTGGTCCGCTAAAACATCTAACGATCTGGCCCCTATGATCGATTCACCATGCCTTAGCCGCCCTCTCATGAGTTGTTGGCTTACAAATCCTCTCGCTCTGTGCCGAACTTGTGGAAACAGAGAGCTGCACTCTTCTTTCTAGTTCCTATTTGCTCATTCAGTCGAGTTGTCGAACTAAGAGTTCTTCTTCCTCTAGTTTCTGTTCGCTTGTTTAGTTAAGCAGTCGAACTAAGAGGCCTCTCTTTCGTTCAAGTTGCAGGCCTTCTCGATTCGGGCTTCATAATCTTATCATGGTCAAACACGATACGACCTCACAATCTTCTTTGGAAGTCATCTCTAGGTTTGCGCCTACCTCTTTAGTTCTTATCATACCTGAAAATTTCTCTCATTTAATCATAAACATCTTCAATGGTCACAGTACATCCACATGTACATTTGTGGTAGAGGAAAATATGGACATCTCATATCTCATAGGTGAATTTTTGCCTCCAGAAATTACAGATTCCAAATACCGGGCTTGAAAAATTGGCAACTATATGGTTAAGTCATAGTTAATAAATTTCTTCACCATGGAGGTTGGAGAAAATTTTACTCTATAGGACCGCAAAAGAAGGTTGCACGTGAAACCTACACTAGCACAGAAAATTTGCGTAATTTGAGATTGAGACCGGATTACATAATCCACGGCAAGGGGAATTCTATGTTACTCAATATTTCTATACCCTCATATGCTGTTGGTTGCAACTGAACATATATGAGATCTATTATTTGACATTTCCTAATGTTTCTGTCTTATATAGGAAAATTATTGAACAATAAAGAACCATCAAATTTTTCCTTGGCCTCAATAAAGACCTAGATGAAGTCAGGGGGAGAATCATGGGTGTAAGTAAACCAATCCCTATCATTTGAGAGACTTTTGCAGAAGTTCAAAGTAAGGAGAATAGAAAGATGTTGATGATAAGCAATCATGCCATACATCTGTTGAAGGATTAACCTTGTACAATCAAAATTTCTCTCTAAATAATAAGCCTAAGAAAGGACGCCGTGATGCGACCATTGTAAGAAACTTGGTAATGTGAAGGAAAATTGTTGAAATTATGCGGTAAACCTGCATTCTAGAAGCCATCTAATGAAAAATATGATTGGGAGATCTGTGTAAATGCTGCTGTCACAATTAACAACAATTTAAAATTTAGCCGGTTTACCAGAGAGTAATAGTTTCTTCTCTAGAAAAGTGTCACCATTCTATACCAAACAACCTATTAGTCTGTTAGCACACCAAGGTATTTTATCCTAGGTTATTAATTTCCAATGTAATAAATTAAAACCTTGGACAGTTGACTTCGGGTTTCATATTTCATGAGGAGAGACATCAACATTTTAAAAAATTACAACTCATGTATTAGTCACTCTGAAGTTTGAATAACTGATAGTTCATTCTTACCAGTAGTAGGAAGTGGATCAACTACACTGACAAATAATCTTCATCTCTACATAGTTCTTTGTGTTCTAAAGTTAAACTGCAATATACTTTCAATCAAAAATGTACTTGTGACTTAAAATGTATATGGCTAATGTTTCTTCCAATTTTTTTGATTTTTAAGTTGTGGATTCAGGGAAGGTGATTGATAGTGTCAAAATGCATGGTAGTCAATATTTGCTCAAAAAAAAAAAACTTGATTGGTTGGCAAGACCATCCTTCAAGTTGTATTTCTGAGCCAAGTTCAAATTTTGTCAATGTAGTTTCAGTTGAAAGTATGGTCATGTCATTGTTGTCTTGGTCGAAAAAAAAAAAAGATATTTTCACATTTATTTATCACTAAAAAGTCTAATTTTTATTAATGTGAAATTTGTCAACTTGCAAAATATGTTATACATGTATACTCTAAACTGCAATACAAGCTATCATATCACTTTTCAGTACTTCACCGATATTTGTGGACAATCACAAATAAATAATATAAATAAGGCACAATGGTTTGTGTCATTTATAGATGCTCACATAAGAACACGATGGACATTTTTTATGAATGAAAATTTTGAAATAACTGCCTTATTTTTTTCCTTTTATTCCATGATTCTCACTCAATTTCAAAGAAAATTTAAATTTTTAAAACTAATAATGCTAAGAAATATTTTAATTCCATCTTTAGCCCTTATCTTTCCAAGCTTGGTATTATTCATTTATGTTTTTGTTTGGATACTTAATAAAATGGGGTCTCTGAATGAAAAAACAGACACTTAGTTGATGTGGCCCTTGCCTTTATATTTTTTAATCATGCGCCGAAACATTTTTTTTTTTTGGGGGGGGGTGGGGAACGACAGCATTCACACAGCCACATAACTCATCAATATGATGCTTAGTCGAGTTCTAAAATTTCAAAATTTTCATAATGTTTTCATGTATCCGTTCTCTTTCTTTTGACTTAACATTGAAGATTTTTGGTTATTTTATTTTTATTCCCATTTATCAACAACACATTATACTTGATCCCAAGTCTCTCAAATGCACCTTTCTCAGTTATTCCTCCAATTAAAAATTCTACAAATGCTACTCTCCAATAACTAGAAAATATAAAATTCCATATATGTCACATTCTTTGAGAAACAATCTTATTTTCCCAAATCTGAAATTTATGGGGAGAATTTAATAGAATATCATATTTGTGATTTTTCTTAAGATAGTCGAATCATTTTTTCCTTAAAATATGTCC